GGCCGAGGCGGTGCGGCGGCTGAAGCAGGACAAGGCCGATCCCGACGAGGTGCTGCAGGTCCCGGCGCCCGCCCGAGGGACTGGGAAGGGGGTGGTGGGGCTTTGGGTATGGGGCTGCGGAGGAGCGGGCTTGAGGGTTGCTGGGAATGAGGTGCTGGGGGAGGACCAGTATGACTGGGAGCGGGGTGCTGGGAGACTAGTGTAACTGGGAGGGGAGGAGCTGGCCTGGGGAGAGGGGAGTTGGGACGCTGTGGGTGTTGGCATGGGGAAGAGTGTGTCGGAGGGAACTGGGGGCACTGGGCCCGAGAGAGGGCTGCTGAGGTGACTGGGATGTGGTTAGGGTTGCTGGGCTTAGGGGGAGGGTGCTGTGTGGAACTAGGAGTACTAGTGTAGGTGTTGCTGGGTATGGGATGGTGGCATTGGGGAGATGGGAGTACTGGTGTGGGCTGGAGAGTGGAGGGGCTGAGGTGCCTGGGGAGAGGGAGAATGGGAACTGGCAGTACTGGTGTTAGGTTGGAGAGAAGGATGCTGAGGTGTGTTAGGATTGGGAGGATGCTGCTGGGGTCTGCCAGTGCTGAGGTGCACATAGCAGGAGCTGGTGGTGCTGGGCTGGAGGGTGGGAGGTGTGGGAGGCAGGTGTTGAAGGTAATGGAGGCCATGGGAGTCAGAGAATGGTGGGGGTGCTGAGATTGGAGTGCTTGCAGTAGAAGCAGGGAGTACTGGAGAGGAGCAGAGAGTGCCCGTTCTGGTTACTGCGGGAGACTGGGAATAGTGGATATATTGAGGTTGGGGAGTCTGGGTGTAGTGGGAATGCTGGGGCTGAAACTACTGGGGAAAGCCTGTGGGTTGGGCCTGGCAGGTGGGCTTACCCCCAGCTCCCTCCTTGTTTCCTCCCCAGATTGCAAAGGAGGTGACAAAACTGCTGGAGATGAAGGCACGTCTGGGGGGAGATGAGGGGAAACACAAGTTTGTGCTTAAGACCCCAAAGGTAACTTCCCCCAGCACGTGCACTCGCACACCTCTCTGTATGCACAACCTGCTCCTGTGCTCACACACACACCCCACGCACCTGTGTGTGCAAAAGTATCAGCACGGACTTGCCTGCCTTTGTTCTCATTTCTGTTTCCATTTTAGCAGTAGGGGAGAGAGGGGTGAAAATATCCCTGACAGCATCTAAATTAGCACTACTAAATTAAAGACTTTCTGGTGCTTCTGTGACAAGCCAACCCCTAGTTGGTGTGGTCAGGAAATTAAATTAAATTCCCTTTTGGTCAAGCTTTATTGTAGCCACCCAGTGTGAGACATCTCATATCTGTTCGAATGGCGCTATTTGAAGTAAAGTCATGACTTGCATTGCCTTGATGAGTTTTTAGCGTTAGGACTCTTCAGCTCTTGTAGCACCAACTCCAATAGTACCTGCAGATATTGGCTTTCATGGATCAAGGCTCCTCAGGCTGGTCCTGTTCCCTGTTAACCTGGACAGAGTGGATGAAGTTGCAGGGAGGCTGTGTGTGGTGGGTGGGAGTGCTGTGAATTGCAGCTCTGCTGGTGTGAGGGTCATTGTGGGAAAGCTGCAAAGCATAAGCCAGCCAAAGAAACCCAGGCAGCGTTTGCCAGGAACGTTCAGCACATGTTGAAATGTAGGGGGCAAGAAAGGTCTCGTGGCTTTTGATCTTGCCTTAGTCTGTGGGGGTTGGTGATTCTGTTTCCTGAGCAGATCTAGCTAGCTGCTGACATTTGTGTGTCCTCTTGCAGAAAGACCCTTCCTTCAAGGGTAGTTTTTCAGTCTCCAGGCCCCTGTGAATAGTGTCAGTAATGCAATTTATGATGAAATTTTTTGTAACCTGAATGTTTCATCACTAGCAGCTGACCAGAGACCAACTGCACTTCCATGCTGTGGCAGGGAAGGTTACAAATGTTGCTCACAAATAAAACAGTTTATGTTAATGCTACTGAATTAGGAAATGTCTCAAAACTGCCTCCCTTGTCCATTTCCTTTATTTTATGTTTTGGTAAATGTAATTGTGATGTGAGACCTGGAAAGTGGAAAGGTGTTTCACTTTTTAAAGATGGGGAGAGAGGATTTTGCAGCTCTGGGAGTACTAAGGAACCACAGCTTGGGTTTCCAGCCTTTCAGCCACGTCAGTGTACTGCTGAAAGATGCTCTTCACTGTGCGACCTGCAGGTGGGGTGTTACAAAGTGCCTGCTCTGCTCCCGCCTGCCTAAGTGCCAGTCCCTAGACAGTGAAAGTGGGAGGTCTAGTTAATTAACAGTGATTTATGTGTTGCCGAGAGCCTAGGTCATCAAAGTAATTCAGTGACTTTTAAGGGCAAAGAAATTAAAAGGGAGCAGAACCTCGCAAGCAGTAGATGGGCACTTCACAGGTATTGCACAGGAGATCATTTTTCTGTATGCGTGTTTGGAAATTGTAGAGCTGCTGGTTGTTCCACGGCTTCAAAGCATGCCTGTCCTCTGATTCCACCTCCCAGGGTGGCTCACTGTGCAGGGGTTTGGCTAGTATGTCTGATCGGAGCTGTGGACAGATCCTAGCTGCGCTGTCGTGCTCGAATGCACCGAACTCTGCCTGTTGGATCTGTGTTAGCTCCTTTGTTTCCTGCATTGTGAAACTCCTGATGTAGATTTAGCTCTGCAGACCATGGCAGACTGTGTCTGAGCTGTGTCCTGATGTTTTCTAGTGGTTTTTAGTGCTGTGTTTTACCACCCTGCCCAATATCTGCTGTCTGGACCTGATCTCTCTGGTTTTCTTAGCAGTGTGATAGCTTCACATTGCCTCTCATGTCTGTCTCCACTGCATGCCTCTAACCTAATGTCTCCTTTGCCCTTCTTTCCCTACCTCACCCCAGGGCACACGGGACTACAGCCCCAAGCAAATGGCCATTCGTGAGAGCGTCTTCAATGCGATCATCACCTGCTTCAAGCGCCATGGAGCGGAAGTCATTGACACGCCAGTGTTTGAGCTGAAGGTGAGTGAGGACACAGGGACTTGGCTGAGCTGATGAGGATCCTGTAGTTGAAATCTTGCAATATGTTGAGGGCCGAGTTTTTGTCTTCCATTTCCTAGGTGTCCTCCCTTTCTCTCCTTGTTTTCTGCGTGTTCTAGGGCTGATCCACTCTCACTGAAGATGCTGTTTGTTCCTGTGTCCTTTTGTTGTAGGAGACACTGACAGGGAAATATGGTGAAGACTCGAAGCTCATCTACGATCTGAAAGATCAAGGAGGAGAGCTGCTGTCCCTGCGCTACGACCTGACAGTATCCTTCCACAGCCAGTGCTGCGGAGTCTTGTCACCTTGGCTGCCCTGCTTTTGGGGCAGTGCTGCCCAGAGAGAGGAGGACAGTCTCTTGGCTCTGACCCTGTACCCACAGGGAGAGAGTGAGCAGGCATGTGGTTCAGCAGGTGCAGAACCCTTGCTCAGTTATTAACTGTATGTTGCTTCTGTTTGGCAAAGTAACGCTTGTATGTAGAGGTAAGGATAATCTGTACTGAGTGGGGTTTCTCCTGCAGCAGGGTACCCAGTCTAGGCTGCTGCAGAACTCAGCCTGCATGAGACAGAGATTCAGCCTAAAGTGGTGCTGGAAGATGCCTACAGGGACACTTACTGGCAGCGTGTGTGGGCCATGTCTTGGACAGTTGTGAAGACTTGGGGAGCTGTGGCAAGTCCAGCATCTCTTAACAGTTGCTTTGCCCCATGGGCATACGCCACACTGCTGGGTGTCGGGGAGATAGTGAGGCCTCAGTGCTGCCCACAACTGATAACTGGGCGGGGTCATCCCTCCTTGTTCCCATCCTTAACCCTACCCTCTCAGGTGCCTTTCGCTCGCTATTTGGCGATGAACAAGATCACCAACATCAAGCGCTATCACATTGCCAAGGTGTACAGGCGGGACAACCCGGCCATGACAAGGGGCCGCTACAGGGAGTTCTACCAGTGTGTGAGTTTGGCCGTTGACAGGGGTGCTGCTGAGTGAGGCTGGGCAGCAGTTGTGGAGATATAGCACTGTTAAAAATGTAGAACCAAAGGCTGTGTTACCCTGCAGCAGCCTTCCCTGTGGCTGTGGAAAGCTCAGGTCAATCCACTAATGATCTCCTTAGCGTGCCCTTGTGGATGTGAAAAACAGCTTGAGAGGGGAGAGCAAGGACAGTGGCTGTGACATGGGGTGTTCGTCTGTCAGAGAGCTTTGTAATACAGCCTCCAGGTATCTGGTTGGCTTTGCACTGTGAATGAGGGCATCTCCTTGCTCCATCCCAGGAGCTTGCCAGCCTGGTGGAGGGGAAGAATCTCCTTCTGATCCCAAATCTGGCAACAGCTGCTATTTGTGGGTGTACACGAATCAGGCAAGTAACTCGGCTGTAGCATATGTTATTTCTGTCCTCAGCTTGGCCGATCTTTATTTCAAAGGAAGGAAAAAACCCAGCGGACAAATTATAGAACAAATAAGAAAGCAATTTCCTTTGTGGCTTTCTCAGACAAGTGTGGTAGCCCTAAAGAATGGCTTTGTTCCACTGTACTAACACGGTCCCCGGGGCCTCATATTGCAATATTCCTGTTTAAGAATATTCCTGTTTGTACAACCCCTGTGAATACTTTCCAACTCCAGCTTGCTGAGTTCCCATTTCCAGACAACTTGGGGTCTTTGCCTGCTGTCCATTCTGAAAGACTGTTCCAAGATCCCACTCCTAGGATAGATAGAAATAGTCTTCTAATATCCAGGCTAAACTTATTTCCCCTTGTACCAGTGCAGCTCTTTAAATGGTAGCTGTCATCACGTGTTATGGATTCTTCCCCTTTCCCAGATAAAGATTTGGGAAATGTTTAGAGAAATCTTCCCTTCCTT